CAGGTGAGGCTAATGGGCTGCAGGGCTTCAGGCTAATGGACTACAGCTGCCAGGCACAGCTCACCTTCAGCTTCCGTTTCTCCTCTGCCTTCTGGGGGTCCCACTCCTCTCCATGACGGTAGGAGTCCAGCTCTTCATCTGAGGGTGCAAACTCCTAGGGAAGAAGAGAATAATGGAGTCAGGAGTCCATACAATGTTTAAAATCTCATGCCTCTCCCCCAGGTATTGGGGGAACAGGCTGAAAAGGGAAGAGATGAGAGTGAGAAGCTCAGGCCTTTTACCTTTTTGAAGATCATGACATAGCGACAGTCATTGTCTTCCCCAAAGGAGAAGGATGTCAGGCCAGCCACTTCCACTACATCATGTCTGGGAAGGGATGGCACAAGACAAAGACTGTTGAGTCATAAGGGAGCCTAGTGTTCTCCTCTGGAGGGATCCCCCTTGACCCTTATGCTCCCCATTTCCTGCCTCCCACAAACCAGTCACACTCACAGGATGCTCCTCTCTATCTTGTTCATAGGCTCAAACTTTTTCTTGATCTGCCCACTGTCTTGGATGAAATCTGACACCTCTTTCTCCATCTTGGGAGAAGGAAAGGGAAGAAGATATGAGAGATGGTTCCACCCAAATATCCCTTTCCCCAGTTGGGCCAGTGGCCTTTCATTGCCTCCCCACACCTTCCCCAGCCTTCATGCCACTGGCTTTTAGGCTTGAGACTTTGTTTTTTTTTAAATGGTGCTGGGGATTGAACCCCTGACCTTGTGCATGCGAGGAAAGCACTCTACCAACTGAGCTATATCCCCAACCCATCTTGAGACATTTTCAATGTAACTGAGCCCTCAACTTTTTAACTCTAACTTATTCGAAATCCTTCTAGAGGCTGCCTTTGATCTCTCCAGTTGTTCTCACCCTTTTACGAAACTCCACTTTCTGTTGTTTCTCTTGCTCTTGTAGTTTCTTCAGGCGGGCAGCCTGCTCTGGGGGTGAGAAATGGCAGCATGAGGCCAGGGCTAGAAGCATGAGTGGGGAGTGTGTCAGGCTTCAAAGAAAGTCCAGTGGGAGGTGGATTATTGTTTATTCACCAAGTATTTACTGATGTTTATTATATACCTGGCACTGTGCAAAGGCCCTGGGATACCAAGACGATTCAAACACAATTTTGCCCTTTAAGAGCTCACAGTTTAGTAGATCTGACAGGGACCAGAATCATGTTTAATCTCATTTACCAACCTTACTGGAAAACCAATGAACATTTGTTTAATGCCCACAGTGTAAGGCACCTGGGGAGGCAAGGTGACTAAGCCCCTGGCCTCTGATTTTATTATCTCATTGTCTCATGGGAAAGGGGAAATGATTTAACTTTCTATATTTTGTAAGTACTCTCCACTTCCCACTTCTACAGATAGGACAAAGCTGAAATGGCTCATCTAACACTCTTCTCCTTTGGGGATATAGGTGTTCAAAGTATAACTGGAACAGAACTTCCACCCTGGAGTCTTATTAAACTCTCCTCCCTTTCCTCAGATCCTGCCTTTACATGAGATCCCCTGTGCCCCGGAGGAGTGGGTACTTGTGTGTGTGCACAGCGCTGGGGATCAAACCTAGGGTCTTTAGCACACTAAACATAAACTCTACCACTAAGTGACATCCCCAGCCCCAAGGGGGTTACCTTCCTAACCTGGGCCCTTATTCTTCTCTTCCCCCACTATGTGATTTTATTGCCTGAGATTTGAACACATATCCCTTCTTCCTCCTGCTCTTCAGACTGAAATATCATACCCTCACCTCTCTCTTGCCATTTCAAATCCTTAAGGTCCATTTCTTCCACAGGATATGAATTCCCACCTCCAGCTGCAACAAACCTTTTTTCATTCTTCTAATCATTCTGTGCCTTTGCACCTGTTGTTCCGTATGCTTGGAATACTTTTCCTCCTCTTGCAAACATTGATATCCACCATGAGTCAGAGGTACTTCTTCTACCAAGCATATTTGGTTCAGATACTCACTAAACTGAAAACTAACATACTATAACGTATTATTTGCTTGCCTTTCCTCCCAGACTATGAGCTCCTGGAGGGCAAGGACCCTGTTAATCTTCTGTCTAGTTATCTTCCAGGCCCCACACCTAACAGCCTCGAAGCTCTCATCCCTCTGACCTTATTGGTCATCAGTAACCATCCTATCTTGGTTACTGCTTTTTTTTCTATCTGGTTTTCCAGTCTTCTCTGCATCTGGGGAAGTGGTATAAGATTAAAGTTAAGAACATAGGTTTAATCTCTGCAAAAATGTAAGGATGCACACTAAAGAGAAGCCTCATGAATATAAAGAGTATGGAAAGCCTTAGGTGGCCCTCATCTTTTCAAAGCCACGTAAGAATGCACACTGGATAAATGCCCTATGAACGTATATAATATTCAAAAGCTTTTAGTTATCAGTTTTTGTAGAACATGTAAGAGCACACACCAGAAATTCAATAACTATATAAAAAATAAGGGGGAAACCCCTCGCTAATTATTTTTTTGGTACTTAGGATTGAACCCAGGATACTTAACCATTGAGCCACATCCCCAGCCCTTTTAAAAAAAGATTTTTAAATACACACACACACACACACACACATATACAGTATGTTATATATAAATATATTATACATAATATATATATTTTAGTTGTAGATGGACAAAGTATCTTTTATTTATTATTTTATGTGGTACTGAGGATCAAACTGGTGCCTCACATGTGTGAGCAAGTGCTCCACCACTGAGCCACAACCCCAGCACCCCCAGCTCTTTTTAAAAATATTTTCTTTAGAGACAGGGTCTCCCTGAGTTGCTAAGAGACCCTGAGTGCCTCACTAATCTGCTGAGGCGGCCTTTGAACTAGAGATCCTCCTGCCTCAGCCTCCTGAATTGTTGTGACTCAGGCAAGCAATCCTGCGCAGGGCCTTGTTGATTCTTTTTTTGTGCTGGGGATTGAACTCAGGGGGCACTGACCATTGAGCCATATCCCTAGCCCTATTTCTACTTTATTGAGAGACAGAGTCTCTCTGAGTTGCTTAGCTTCTTGCTTTTGCTGAGGCTGGCTTTGAACTCCCGATCCTCCTGTATCAGCCTCCTGAGCCGCTGGGATTACAGACTGTTAATTGATTTTTAATGCTCCAGAAAATTCACTACACGGAAGAATACCACACATTATATAAAATACAACAGTCATATAGAATAGTCTTTTGTCAATATCTCAGGCTTAAAAGGGATCCATAGATAATGCACATAAAATTTTTAAATAAAAGACCAGAGGTTAAAAGTCATTCCTGGGCTTGAAACTCTGTAACTTACTAATCAAGTGATCTCAGGCAAGTGACTAAACTGATTTTTCCTAGTGTATCAACTGCAGTTAGTGATCATCCAGTCATCCTGAGCATTAAATAATTCCAATTCCTCCTTCCCTATGTGCTCCTTGCCTTTGAGAGCTTTCAAATACACTTATTCTCTGTTAACACTCTACTCTTACCTCGTTTACTGAATCTATTCTTCAAACCTTGGCTGCAGACAAGATTAGGACCTCCAAATATAAATATGTAGTTTTTCTCAAATACATATAAAAAGTATATATTTTTTCAAAGCACTTATTCAATGCATTATTAAAGTTCTTTGTGACCATTTCAATTAAATGAGCGTCTCAGACGGAACTGCGCGCTCCTTGAGGAACATCCCTAGCAGGCGTTCAGTAAATAAGGGGCAATATTTAGATATAGGGGACCCTAGAGCACTTTGGAGGCGTTCTGCTTGCCCTGCGTCCTTGGGGAAGACGGGGATCTGGTGGCCAGGACCCAGCTCGTTCAGTCAGGGCCCCCAGAGTTGGAGCTGGTGTCCTCTCCAAGGCGGGCTTTCCGTTAGGCTACTTAACAAGCTGCAGCACAAGCAACCCTGGGGAGGCCTCTACTAACCCACAGGGCCGCGCCCTAGGCTGGCTGCCGAACTTGAGGCCGCCTGCTGGGAAGCTACTCCGAAAGCACAGGCGGGGAGACTATGGCCAATCGGACCCACCGGGGCATTCTCATTCCTCCAATCAACATCACGATCCCCCTGGGCAGCTCGGGAATTTAACGCTGCAGTTGGGAAAAGGATTATTGGACAGACAGAAGGTACTGGGTTAAAATAAGAAGGAGGAGCATCGGGACGCAAAGGACCTAGCAGCCAATGGGAGGTGCTGAGGATGGGGTGGGTCAAGAAGATCCAACAACATTCAGGAGGTAGAGCTTTAAGTTGAGATAGCTAATAGCAGTGAAAGGATTGTAGATGAACATGTCCTGAATCCAATCAGAATGGACTTGGGGGTGGGTGGGGTCGGGAAACGCAGCACGCCATCCCCCAATCGAAAAAGGAACGAATGAGGAAGGATTGGAAGCGTTCTGCCAATCAGAACTCGCCAGCAGCGGACAGGCGGGCGTATTGGCCAATTGGAAACAAGGACTGAGGAAGGCCAGGGCAAAGAAAAGGAGGCAGGAGGCTGGAGCCAGGTTTTAGGTAGCCAATCATCATCCGCTAAGGACAGCGGGCGGGCCGGCAGCCCTTTTAGGGACTCTGAGGGTCTCAAAAGGGGCCTGTGAGGGGTCTTGCGGGGTTCAGGAGGCGGCATCGTCCAAATAAGGAAGACTGCAGTCCCGAGAACCGAGCGAAGAAAGGCAGTTGTGAATTTGGGATCCTCACCTCGGGCCTTGCGCCGAGTCTCCTGGTCACCGAGGCTGGGTGGCTTCTCCATGGAGCTCAGGATGGAGCCCAGTAGGTCCGCCATCTTGGGAGTGACTGAGAGGGGGCGGTGCGTCTTAAAGGGAAGGGCGAAATGCCTTTAAGGCCGGAAACACGTCGGAGGCGAAAAAAGTACGCGCCCGCTCCGCTGAGGCACTGATCCGAGGCTTGCCGCACGCGTGGCACCTCCCCCTCCGTTGGCGAGGCCCCTTCCCGGATCCCCGCAGATAGAGGCCAGAGACTGGCTGGTGCAGCGATGTTTAATGGCAATTTGTATAAACCAAGCCCATGCACAAGTAGAAAGTGCTCGTGGAGTCGGCGGGAGGCCCCTGCCGCACAGACCTCCCCGCGCCTTAAATAGATTTTTCACTATACTCTGTATGTTACAGTATGTACAAGCCCCCTCCCCTCGGGGGCGGGGGCGGGACTCCGCAATGCGTTCCTATGTACATCCCCTCCCCTTTGGCCCGGAGGTGGGTGGCCAGAGTCGGGGTGACTGGGTAAGACAGGGCCAGGAAGGGAGAAAACAGACGCAAACATGCGGAGTCGGGATGGGGCTTCGACTAGCCCCGAAACACTAGGGCGCGCGCAGCGAAGGCAAAGGTGGGGACCCAGGCTTATACATTCAGAGACGCGTCGAACAAATAAATAAGGCAAGTCAGGAAGAGGGGAGTTGGGTGCAGGCAGGGAGAGAGCTGTGGAAAAGGGGCAGGCAGGGCTCCGCAAGTCACAGCTGAAGATGCAGGTATGTGGGGCGAGGTTTTTCTGGAGTCAGGGACCAAAAGAGGAGGGAGGAAGGGCGAGGTGTAGGAATTCGGGCTGGGAAGAGGAGGGGAGAGGCCCACGAAAGGTTCGAACAAAGATGAAAGGGAAAGCTGCCGACAGGGGATTCCCCCTGCCCCAGAAAGCCCTCTCCAAGTTAAGACTGCCAGAAGCGTCCCCAGGGTGGTGAGGCGGCTGTGGAGAGGTCAGGTGGCCAGTCCTGGCTGGGGAAGCCCTTCCAGCTCCTGGTTCTGCTTCAGTTCCCTCATCCTGCAGAGAGATGAGGAAGGAGTCAGAGGAGCCTGGTGAGTCAGAGGAGGTGGAAGGGTACAATCCAGTGAGGGAAAGAATCAATACCTGTGTCGGCAACGCCGGAGGAATCTCATAATTTTACGGGCTGCCTGGTCCTGCTTCTTTGTGAGAAAGGAGCTTCTGGTAGAATTAAGAGGAGGAGAGTTCATGGAATACCCAAGCATCCCATATCCTCTGCCCCTTAGGAACCCCAGCAGGGAAGGGCAGATGAGGAATAGGAGTGAGCATAGACAAAGCTGGTAGCAGAGGGTTTCAGGGCCAGGGCCATACTTGTTACGCGCTGGCATGGGGCCTGAGGGCCGGCGACGGTAGGAGCGGTAGTGCTGCTGGATGAGTACAGCAGCTCTGCGGCTCTGCTGAAATCGCTTCTGTTCATAGTAGCTTCGGAACTTGCTCTGGATCAGGATGGCTGCCTGGGTCATCTTCTTATAGAGTGCAAACTACAAGGGTGGGGAGGAGGGATGGGCTGAAATGAAAAGTCAAAGACCTAAATCCCTAAAGGTCACCCCAAAGTTAGGTTGATGCAGGTCTCTCTCTAACCCCACATCACAAAAAAAGACTGAATCACAAACAACTCTCACCCAGATCTCATGCCTAATACCTTAAGAGCAATCCAAGTCAGCTTGTGGAGAGAGAAGGGGAGTTAGGGCCCTGGAAGCATTCTGGGTGCTCTGGGCTGGAATGGGTGTGGGCTGGTAGTGTGCTTTCAAGAAAAAGGTCTCACCTGCTTGTACTTCCTATAACAGCGCTGGATCACAGCTGCTGCTACCTCCTGCTGCTCCTTCAGCCGCCGGCCCTGAGGGGAGAGGGTCTTAATATCTCCCTACCTGCTTAACAGACACTGGGCCTATTCTCCACTCTTCCAGGGTCCTCTGACTCTTCATCCTATCTGAGGGCTGTCTGGATCACTGCTCTTTCTCCAAAAGCCTTCGGAGCCCAGTCTCAATATTGCGTAATTTATCCCGAGACCCCTGACCTTGTACTTTCGGAATGCCGTCTGGATGACTCGGGCTGCCTCATACAGTTCCCGCTGCTCATGATCTGATAGTGTCAGCAGGGCAAAATCACTTTCCATCTTGCCACTGGTAGATGCAGAGAGAAACTCTGCCCAGGAAGGTGCTGGAGGGATAGCCAGGCGGCCTCGCTCAAAGGACAGTTCACTGTGGGAGATAAGAAGGAATGTCAAGGAGCATCTGAAATCCCTGTTGTCCCACTGAGAGGTGGCTGTGAAGGAAGATCCCCAGCAACGGGAGAGAGTGGCTTCCAAGCACATCATTCAATTCAGTTTCCTTTCCAAATGGCCTAGGGCCTCAACCAGAATGGAGCTTTGGCTGTAGGGAAGCTGTGCTTTTTTCCCTTCCTCCCATCTTTCTTTGAAGAAGAATCTGGAGATTTTGTCCTAGCTGATCACCTGGGAGGGGCTGAGCTGGGGAAGTGGTCCACATTCTCCAGGTAGCTGGCCAGCCAGGACATGGTCTCACTGAGCCCCACGGCCCCTGTCCGCTCCCTGCCAGCCTCGGGTAGCCCCACAAAGTCCTCTCGTTTAATCCGTTCTGGTGTGGCTTCAATGATCTGCTTGGCTAGTGAGATCATGTCCACCTAAATAAAGGGAGAAGCTGCATGAGCCATGAGAGGCCCCAACTTCCAGATGTCCTTACCCTGTCAAAGCTGTCACCTCAGTCTGCTCCTTGTCTGGTTCCTTCTCAACATCAGATACTGAGTCCTCAGGGAATGCTCTCCTGCTCTTTTCTTCATTAGCCACCGTTCTAGATTCATTAATTCTTGCTAGCTTCCCCTTGAGGGTTCAGCTTTTTGTGCTGAGATGTGGAGAACATAGAATAAGAGGACATACTCCAAAAGGGGATTCAGGAGTTGAGCAAATGCTATCCTTCTAACTGTCCCACCTGGACCTGCCTAATGCCAGCCAACAGCATATCCTCCCCATGGGTTTGGCTATGCTTGCACCCCAATCCTTTCAGCTCTCTGAGAACCACTCAGTTTTTGCTGACCACATGACACTTTAGTGAATGGCTCCAGCCTGGCCTTTGCTCCAGCCCTAAAGCCTGTAGCACTTCCTGTTGACCAGATTCCATGTAGCCCACACTGTGGAGTTCTCAAGTTTTTTTGTACTTAGAGACTGCTACCTAATTATTCAGCCTCTCTAAAGCAAGTATGTCCACAGATTCTAGTAGAGGAATATGTGGTTACATTTGAAGATTCATTTTTTTTTCTTATTCATTCCACCAGACTGTCTTAGCTTTTACCATGTGCAAGTCTTCTTCCCATTTTAGACCACACTGTCAAGTACCTACATCTTGTCTGTTTATACAGTTCCCCAGCTGCCTACCATCTCTGTGGTACTTCAAGAATCCTGTCCTTTTATGATCAACAGGTAACTCTACAACACAGCTGTAAGATATTCCTCAGATTTCTTAACCTCTGCTGCCTATTGACTGCTGAGTTACAGGATCTGAAAGGAGTGGAGCAAAGGGGTTACTTTGCCTGTCCCAAAATGAGAATAAATGGCCTTTCTTCCCAAACTGAAGTCAGACACTGATTCTACTTCATGAAATTGTCTTGCTTTACTCCATCTCTGCACCCCACTCCACTTTTAACCCTCCTAATTCCATCAGCATAAACAGTACCGGGATCACATCCACAGCAGGTGAGCTGTCGGTGTCCTCTGGAGCAGCCCCATCATCTGGGGCTGGTGGGAGGACAGGAGGGGAGGGTGGGGACCCTTTGGAGTTGGTAGCTTCAAAGTCCATGAGGAGTAGGGGTGCCTCTGGGGCATCAGAGGAGAGTTGGCTTGGGACCATCTCCTCCATAGTAATCTCAGAGGCTGACATAGGAGCAGGGGGAGGACTGCCATCCGGGGCACTAGAGTAGGCGGATGTGATGGAGAAAGTGCCATCTGATAGCTCCGAGGGTGAGGAGACGCTGCTCAGACCTGTGAGGTGAGGGAAGAGGGCGAGGGCAGCAGGAGCTACAGGCCATCCCTCAAGTCTCCTACCCTCCCTCCCCTGGCTGTTCTTGCTCCTGTTATCTCCCCATCCCTGCCTCTTTCTCTCCCAGTTTATCTTCTGCCCTTTGGCTTTTCCCTGGCCTATCCTAACCATACCCCTCACTCAAAAAGATCAGGGGCAGCCCTCACCAGTGTCTGAGCTGGAGGAAGGCGGTGACAGGGCAAGTGAGGGTTCAATTGAAGCTTCCTGTCTCTGCAGTTCCTCAAGGCAGCGGGCAAGGCGTACGTGACCCCGGGAGTGAGCCACAGTCAGGGGTAGACGGCCCAGAGAATCAGGAATGCTCAGTGCCTGACGGTTCCAACGGAAAAGAAGCACAGCAGCTTCCAGGTGTCCCAGGGCACAAGCCCACATCTGAGGAGAGGGAGGTGGAGGTGAGGCCTGGGTTCTTCCCCAGGAGGTTAGGTCCTCACACTCTGGCCTGCCCCTTTCTCTGCATTGCTCAAATAATTTTCCCTCTGAAGCACCATTCCATTGCATATTGCTCTGAAGGCTCGCAGGAGCCGGCATCCTTACCAGAGGGGTGCAAGAGAAATGATCCACGTTGAGCGGGTCAACCTCTTGTTCTAAGTCCAAGCTTCCAGTCTCCACACTCCTGGAGAGTTTGAGAGAAGGACAGCAGAGCCCAGTCAGAGAAAAGGGGGAAAAGTCCAGAACATCAGAAATAAAGGGACAGGAAAGTGAGCTCTAGAAGCACTAAGGCCAGTGAGATGAGGCAGAAAGAGACTAGTAAATTTAAGGAAGCCAAAGGTTCATAAGTCAAACGTTATCAAAAGTATCCCAAATGCCAGTCCTCTTCCAGCCCTGTTCTTTCCCATAGAGACCCCTGCTTCTCCTTTGCAGGGGTGTTCCAGATCCTCATCCCCTGGCACCTTCTGACCCAATGACTGTCCAGCCCCCTCCCTGCTGCCCTGCTCACCGCCACTGGCTCAGGGTCTCAATGAGGCGCGCATAACCCTGAGCAGCAGCCAGGTGCAGAAGACTCATGCCCCGGAAGGGGCTTCCATGGGTCAGACGTTCAGGACCTCTCCAGGTAGAGCGTGGGATCATGTTTTCTACCAAGATGACCACCCGTGCCTCAAATCCAGGCCCTTGGCCTTCATCCTGTAGTACACATACCCATATGCAAATATTTTTGCATCTGGTCTCCTGGCTTATTCCCCTAGCTTCTAACCCTGCTCCTTCCCCACACTTCCTATTCTAGGTAGCCATCACCCAGATCTGTGATATGTGATAGCCCATGGTTCTTTCCAGTTTGAATTCCTATGTGGCCTCAGTATCCTCCATTTCCACAGCCCATTTGCTCTAACAACTCTGGAAGCCAGGCTTTACACACTCTTGCCCATATTGTACCTTTACAGCAGCTCAGATTTGTGCCATCCCCACATGGCTTCTCTCCTTAGGAGCCAGAGTCTTCTCAGCCTTTCCCTAGCCCTCTTCCTTTAGAGATTTGGGACCCTCAGAGCTCTGAGCCCCAATTCTTCTGACCCCCTCCCCCACCTGCTCCTTTACCTCCACCCTTCTTCAGACCAGAAATAGTCTGAAGCCTGTCATGCCAAGAGGGTGCCCAGAATAGCCACTCTTGCCATGGGATGGGGGTGGGAGTAGGGTGATGTCAGAGAGAGGGAGGAAGACTGGCTGAGGAAGCTGGGGACAGGCAAGTGAGGACAGGCATCTGCTACAGCCATTTTCTTTAGTGGACCCTCCTCCCTTTCCCCACTGTAGACCCACCATCTGGGGATGGTGGGAGGACAGGAGGGGAGGGTGGGGACCCTCCTGTCCTCATGGAAGTACCTGAATTGGAAGAGCCTCAGGACCCTGACAAGGTGCTTGGCCGGCTGCTGCAATCTCTGCCATACGCTTCTCCATCTGCTCCAACCGCTCCAGGATGGACATCCGGAACTGGTTGTCTGTGGGAATGGGATGGGAGGCTAACTGGGTAGGGTCTAGGTGTTGCCCAGAATACCATATTTGGACCTGCTCCTAAGTTTAGGGGTGAAGATATAGAACCCTGTTCTTTCCCTCCAAACAATAACCCCTTTACTCAGTCTTCTAAATAAAGCCCACCAGGACTCAGTCCTTAAACTAGGGCTCTTAATCCCACCCATGGACTAGAACCAGATTCCAAGATTTGAATTAAGGTTGGTTCCTTTTAGACAATGGTGATAGGAATTCCCCAGCAGCCATCCAACCCCCAACTGTCCTAAATCACACATGGCATGCCCTCTACTAGCCTTTTCCTAAGCAGAATATTCCCCCAGTTCTTGCCCCAGACACTACCTTTGTCTCCCATGCTGGAGCTGAAAGACTCGAGGATCCCAACTCTCTGTTAACCACTCCCCAAAAGAACTCAGGGACTGTGATTTGAAAAGCACCACCCTCTCCTCCCAGCCCCCCACAGCTGTCCACAAAGAGGTGGGGAGTGGAGTGACAGAGAGGGATAGCCATGTCCATTTCTCCTCCCCCTCCAACCCCTACACATATGCACACACATAAACACATACACAATCTAAGCTTTATCTGAACCCCTCCCGAGATCAAATAAAGACTGAGAAAGGATCTGAATCAAGGGAAAGCAGGCACAGAAACAAGGTGAAGGCTGGGCATGTTCTAAGATGCTGGCATAGAAGAGAATGAATATACAGAGGTGACGGTAAGAGGAAAGTAGAGAATGATGAACAAAAACCCAAGTAGGATAGAGAAAAGAGCAGGAAAGCTAAACAAGGTGAAAGTAAAGAGAGAAAGGACAAAAGAGCAGGGGAAGCATTAGCCAAGCAATAAGGAAGGAAGACAGAGGCAAGGTCAGATGCTGGTTTCAGAAGAAATGGCTAGATCCCAAGGTAGGCAAACTTGAGTCACATACAGGCAACTCAGTACATACAAACTTGGGTTTTGTGACAAGACTGGCTCCAAGAGAGACAAGGCTCAGGATATGACTTAGTGGTACAGCACTTGCCTAGCATACTCAAGGCCCTGAGTATAATCCCCAGCACTATACCCTCCCTCGGGGGGRAAAAAAAAAAAAGGCTGAGGACCAAAGCCTCAGAAGTAGTGATGGCAGCAAGAACTGAAAGAAATCAACAGGTAACAACAGAAACAATAGGAAGAGACAAAAAAAGCAAACCTCACGGGAGCAGCCAGGGCAGTCAGAAAGTTCTCAAAACATCCAAAGAACGAAACAATAAAAGTAAAAATGGTTCCAGACTTCATTACACCTACATACACTATATAGGAGTACATTTGTGCTTCTGTGTGTTTATATAAGAAACCACATCACAATATTAGTAGTGGATATCACTAAGCAGTAATATTTTTTTTCCACTTTATGCTTTTCTGTAATTTCCTATAATGAATGTGTATCTTTAAAATCAGAGAGGAAAAATAGAAATTTAAGTCTATATATACTCATGTACAATGCCTATATATTGCTCTAGACCCTGTCCCCAGCCCCTTGTCCTTCCTTCCATCTTTAGGGATGGCAAGTACTGGGTAAGAAATGGGATAAAGAAGATTCTGTGACTTATAGGGAAGAGGAGGTGAGGGCACTTTGCTGCCACATTCAGAAATGATTGAAGAAACATGGCCCCCTCAGGGGTCTAGAACATGTCACGCTCAAAGGTTGTGGGAACTGACACTTGGGGTCAGAGGATTTAGTACTCACCATCCAGTGACAACCAGTCAAGCTGTGTACTAGGCAGAGACAGGAATCTGCGGGCTCGATATTCAAAGAGCACAGAAGCAGAAAGGGGGCCCTCCCGTCCTGCCACCTGCAAAGATACCAGCCCCACCTCGTGGGCTGGGGAGTACAGGGTCAGCGAAAAGGCCTCCTTCCCTGGCTCCTCAGACCATGTTGGAGCCACTGCCATCATCCCATATCTATCTCCCCCACTCCCCCACTATGAGCCAAGAGGCCTCTGGCTTCAATGAGTAGCCTTGTCACTGAGAGGGGAGAACTTAATACCTACTATGGACCAGAGAACTGTGGGATTCTAGGCCCTGGAGTTAAGGACATTTGTTACTCAGCAACAAAGTCTGGAAGCTGAGAGTCAAAGAGATCTATAGGGCTGGAGGTATAGCTCAATGGTAGAGCACTTACCTAGAATGTACAAGGCCCTGGGTTCCATCCCCAGAAAACACACACACAAAAAGACATCTATACTTGTGAACAACCTGATGAGGGTTAAACCCCTTAGTCCCCAAAACCAGAGCCCAGAAGTTATGAGTCTGTTACTGAGATAGGTGAAGCTGGCTATTTAGCAACAGTGTTCAATGAGAGCTGTGTCCCAGGATCTCAACCTATGGCTCTAAGGATGAAGCCACCAGGTCTTATTCCCAAGACCAGGGGCAGAGACTTTTTCTTCAAGTTCCTACCTTCACTGGTCTCATCTCCTTTCCTTCTATGCATAGTTGAGTGGGGCTGTTAATTGGGAGGAGAGGTGGTGGGGGGGGGAGTGCTGCGGAGTGATATTGGCCAAATTATATTGTTATAGTATGTGCATGTATGAATATATAACAACATATCCCAACATTATGTATAGCTATAATGTATCAGTAAAAAATATGGGGGGAAAAAAGATTGGGTAAGAGTACCTTCACAGATAATAAAGCTTGATCAACCTGCCACCCTGGTGGTCCTTGGGGTCCCACAAGAAGACCAACTGTTAAATGTAGGGTCAGGGCAAGAGTGGTGGCAAAAGGGCAGAGAAGTCAGTCTAGACCCATGCTATCTAGTAGAACTTTATGCAGTGAAGAAAAATATTCAGTATCTGCTCTATCCCATAAGTTAGCACCAACTATGTATGGCTGTTGAACACCTGAAATATGGTCAGTGCAACTGGGGAAATGAAGTTAAATCTGATTTTAATTAAATGGACACATGAGGCTAATGACTACCATACTAGACAATGAAGGTCTAGAAACCAATGTCCTTTACTCCTAGGACTGGTCGGAGGAGACCACTATCTCTCCTTTCTTATTCTCCCTGGATTAAGGTTGGAGACCGTGATTCCAACAAATTCAGAAAGGCTGGACAGACATTAGTGATCCCTTTGGTCAAATGCCTGACCTTACAAGAGGGGAGGCCAAGAATCCAATAAAGGAGTAGAATTATCTAAGGTCACTGGTTAGCTGAAGAGTAAATTTCTTGGACCGGACCTAGATTTTCCAATACCCAAGCCATGCTCTTTACTTGCTGGGGGAGCTTGGTGCCCAGCCTCAGGACTGGATAGGTCTTTGTCTTCTCAAAACAATCTAGTTGTTTCCAGTACTTCTTAGAAGCCTGGAAGTCCTAATCTGTCCTAACTATCCATATGTCTGTTCCCTACTATTCCCAGTCCCCATACCAGGACAGTAGCAGCGTAAGACACCAGGCTGGACAAGTGAGGCTGGCACTGCGATGTGATCAAAGACACAGGAGTAATGCTCGGCGGCCTCCGTCCAAGGACCTGTGATGAGCACCTTGACCCCACCCTGCAGACAGAAGGCAGACAGCCATGTGACTGAAGTTGGGTGTTCACTTATTCATTAATTTATTTAAATCCTTAGGGAATATATACTATCTGGAAGGGCCTATGCTTGCTAGAGACTGACAGGACATAGTGGAGCAAGATCAACCAGTCTGTCCCTCATCTCACCTTTACTGCTAAGTGGTTACATGGTCTCTACCAGAATTTTCTGAATCTGCCAGAATCAGGGGAACTCAGGGCCTGCGCAAGGCTACCAGATAACTATTATCATGAAGAAGTTCTGTTCTTAGGCTAATTCATCCCATCGTAGTTCCTCCTTTCCCTCACAGAAACAGCATAAAGCAGAACTGCTGAAGATGATCTTTCAGCTGCCCAGTCTGCAGTCAAATCTCCACTTATATTTTCTCCTCTGTGATGAACAGCTCCAGTTTCCTCCCCCTGACTGTAGTCACCAAGGGAATGAAGGTCCCTGGGGGATTCTCAAAACCATGTTAACATACGGAAGGGAAGGAAGGGGGACACAGTGGATGAGAACTATAGAAATAGAAGAGAAGCTACACTCTGTAAACATGGAGGTCAGAAAGAAAACCAAGAAGCCATAAAGGCATCTGGGGTGTAGCTCAGTGGTAAAGCTTGCTTAGCATTCATGAGGCCCTGATTTTAATCCCCAGCAACATATGGGGGGAAAAAGAAGCCATGAAAGCCAAGGGAAGCTAGATTATAGATTGTAGGGTAAGGGTTAATACAATTTGTTCAGGGAAATTGGAAAACAAATGGAGAAGGGAAAATAAGCCTGAGACTCACCTCTGGATATGACCATTCTGGGGAGAAGTCTGTGATGGTGCTAAGAACAGGAGAGAGCTGTGGAGTTGGGGCAGGGATGCTTGGAGCTTCATCGCTGATGAGTTCTCCCATAAGGTCTGGGAATGATGAAAGACTGAAGGGCTCCAATTCACTGGCCCCACCAGGTCCTCCAAATAAGGCCTCCCCTCTTGCTACCCTGCCGGATGGCTCTGAGGGGGCAGGTGAGGATGGGGATGAAGGAGGGGGTGAAGGTACAGGTGGGGCAGCCCCCTGGCTCTTGAGCTCCTCTCCACTATCATCATCTTGGATGAAGAAGCAGTTTCCTCTTCTCCCACTTGTTCCAGACTGTGGAGGGGGTGCCCGAGCAGCTGCCTGGGGCTCCAGGGCAGCAGCAGGCTCTAGGGCAGGACAAGGGGTACGGGCAGCCTCTGCTTCAGGGAAGTCTGGGTTCACCCCCTGTCCCCCTCCATATGTCTGGCCCCTTTGAGGGCTGTTGAGAAAACGATCAGGGTCAAAGGCAGGGCTGGGAGGAGCTGGTAGGGCAGCGGGCTCAGAGCCTACAACCACAGCCAAGCTCACAGACGGCCTACGCTCAGTCTGGTGAGCCAAGTGCCTGGTGGCTGTCAAGCCCCCTGCACGCTGTTCCAGTCCTGTCAGGAGGAGGATGGCAGTACCTCCTCTTGATGAACTCCCTCTAGAGGTGGGAGGGCTAGGTCTGATTTCTAGGGGTTCTGCAAAGCCTGATGAGGAAGAGGAGGAGGAAGAAGAAGATGGGGAGGCATGTGCCTTGGGGAGCTCTGAGGGAAGTGGGGCTATCAGTGGAGGAGGCTCAGGGGGTTGGGACTGGGGGATAGAGGTCAGGGTTAAAGGTCGGGGCTCCACTTTGGGAGAGATGATGCGATGTTTCGTACTGCTGCATTTGTGGGTAAGGCTCCCAGAACCTGGAAGGGAGAGGGGTGGGGAAGAGAGAAGGAATAAGATCCTTCTGCAGTCTTCCCTTTCTGGAAGCCCTTAGAACATATTTCTTGGGGGCTGGGGCTGTAGCCCAGTGGCAGAGCACTTGCCTAGCATATGTGAGGCACTGGTTTTGTTCCTTAGCACCACATAAAAATAAACAAATAAAACAAAGGCATTCTGTCCATATATAACTTTTTTTAAAAAAGTATTTCTTGGGACATCCTTGTACACTAGATGTGCAATACTGATTTCAGCCACTAGGAGGCATCAGAAACGAACACCCCTCCCCCCTCCTTTCCCTTCAAAATAAAACCAACCAGAGGAACACTGCAGGGGAAGACACAGGGCTTGGAGAAATAGCCCAGAGCAGATGATAAAGGCATAGAAAAGGACAAAAGAACATAACTAAGAAGGGTCAATTAGGAACAAAGGTAAGGTCAGGTGTAACTGATAGTATTGGGTGAGGTTGAGGTAACAAGCTGACAGGACTATAAACTACAAGGACTAGGGCTAGTGTTGCCCAGATGGGAAGGCATCTGCTCATCTGCCCCATCTTTCTGAAGATGCACAAGACTTGCAAATCAGCATGCAAATCTGATCAAGACAAATATACAGTAGTGGAGCTAGGTGGAGAACTTCAGGGTCAGGGTAGCTTACCAAGGCCCCCACTGCAGAGACAGGCATGGGTTCGGGGTGCAGGCTTGGTTGGGTGTGTGTCCAAGATTTGCTGCACCAGCTGTTCCACAGAGAACTCTTCTGTCCCATTCCCGCAGCTCCACTTGATGCCATGAACTACAGGAGAATTGGTGGAAGTATGTAGAACCCCCAAAGTACCTTTTATTTTGGTACCAGGGATTGAACCCAGGGGCACTTAATCATAGAGTCACATCTCTAGTCTTTTTTATTTTTTCATTTGAGACAGGGTCTTGCTAAGTTGCTTAGGGCCTGGCTAAGTTGCTGAGACTGGCTTTGAACTTGTGATCCTCCTGCCTCAGCCTCCCCCAGCTCTTGGGATCACTGACATGTGCCACCACACCTGGCTTTCAAACTACCTTGATTGTTCCTTCAAGCACCTGACATGCTAAATGGAGGCCAGAAACCAAGACTGCTCAGACACATAGTCACAGCTGACCTTCATTTCTTTCTCCGTATTCCACGCTTCACACTGCACAGGAATTCTAGCATCCCCACAGGAAAACACCTTCCTAGCCTGGAGGGAAATGGTCACCCACAGGCTTCTGGGTACAGAATCACAGCACCTTTGGGAGGACTCATTTCCACTTCCCCTTGGAGTTCTATCCTTGCCCTACTCCTTACACATGGGCTTCAGCTGTCCCAAAAGCTCCTCCCGGGACCACTTCAGCCACTCTCGCCGGTCGCTGCTGATGGAACAAAAGATGGGGCTGCAGCCCTTTCCACAATCCTCGAGGGCTGGGACGTTCAGGTAGTGCACAAGGACGATGTCAGGGTTCTGAGAGCGAAAGGGCACACACAGAGAGTCATGGAGTCTTGAGGTTCAGGGGCTCAGCTTCCTAATTCTTGCTTTCTTCCTGGGTACCCTCCTAACTCACCCCCAACTTCTGGCTCTCTCTATCCCCAATCCCCATCTCTTCTTCCTACACTGAACCTACTCATCCTCCCACTTCATCCTTTTAGATCTCTCCATCCCTCAAAGAGCTAAGCAGAGTCTAGCTCCTCAAGCTCTTTCATTCTTACCTGGAGCAGCCAATAGCAGCGCCGATGGAATGTGGGGACGATGGAAGAGTGAACGTAGCAGCCATAGAGACACTGCCAGGAGACAGGCTGGGGTGGGGGGAGGGCTAGTCTGCTCCCCAACTCTTCCTCTGTTCAGTCCCTTTGCAGGAATCCCAATCTTTCCACCAGTTCCTCTTTAACCCTCTCCCCACCCCCATCTATCCCCCACCCCTTTCAAATCCCAGGAGCCCCAAGTCATAGATGAGGGATGAAGAGAAGGTAACAGTGGGGCTGGGGCCTTACAATGAGGGCCAGATTTGAGATATGGGACTATCCAGAAATCCAAGGGCAAAGCAAGAATGCATCTGAGAGGAGGAGCAATGATTTGGGAAGAGAAACCTGTGCTTAGAGCATCACTGCTTGGATCCCTGTGGGAAATGCAAGAGAAGCCAGGAGACTGGTATCAGTGTACTAAGGCCTGGAGAGTTGGGTCATGGAGGGACATGGGAAGCAGAGAGTAGGCTAAGCGATCAGCCAGCTGATCCAAAGTGAGCAAGAAGGGAAGAGTGACTAGAAGGGGCAGAGGTGGACAATGTCCTCCAAGCCCTGGTAGGGCTGGAGCCCAGCTAAGAGTGGAGGACGGTGGGAAAGGACAAATGATTAGATGCCTAATGCTCTTACCTCCATGCCCTGGACCTTCAGCTTCATGTGGTCCTCTCGGGTGGTTTTCCCATCCTTTCGCTTCTTCCAGAGGTAACCATCCTTCCGGTATTTCACCTTCTTGCGGTTGTAGAGGATGATGGAGCCATTTTGAGGTCTGGGAAGAGAAGGGTTCATCTCAAGTTCTGTGAGCAGAAATCAGGATTCCTGCCATATCTCACCTTTGAGAACTTTCTCACCTTGTCTTTGGGGCACAGGATAGCCACTCATCATGCTTCTCAAAGGTGATCAGGTAGGATGCAATCTCCTGTGATAGAGGAGGTACTCAGGTGGATGTTTGCTACATGGAAAGATCTCTTGGTCATTACCTCAGGGTCTCAGTCTCTGCTGAGCTGTGGCAGCTGGACTTCTAAGTATCTGGACCCAGGAAGGTTCCTCTGCCCTCCTAAGAATCCTGGGTTCCATCTCAGAGAAAATCTAACATTGTCTCCTCTACCTCCCAAGTAGAGCCTATATCTTGGGGCCAGGATCAAGTTCATCATCATTCTTCATACTGTATATTATTTTACTTTCTCAAAATCCCATTTTGTGCACCCTTCCCTAAGAAAAAATTTCAATTAGTTTGACACTACCAAGAATTCCAGATTCTTTAACTTGACTTCAAGGTTTTCCCAACAAGGATCCAAACCATCATTGTCACTATTTACCCATTTTCCACCTACCATTCCTGCCAGATGAGTCCCTTGATTTCTCCCTGATAATACCTTTAATAGTCACCTCCTGGAAGTTAGTACCCTATGACCTTGGAGTACTATGTGTTCAGTCTCCATGTCTCGAAATTCCAGTCATCCTATAAGCTTCCCAGATGCTCCATGAAGCCCTGCTGACCCCTAAAGGTTCTATGTATTACACATAGAGCCTTCATATATATCCTTTTACTGACAGTTCTAACATCAAGCTGTTATTACTACTGACCATCAACTGCATATGAGGCACTAAGTATGTAGGATACAGAAAATGTGTAACACAAGGATTATGTCTTCCAAAAAAGAAACTCCAAGTAGTATTATCAGTTTCCTCATCAGTAACATGGGAGTAAAAATATGAAAAACCACAGGCCAAGTGTTTAGCATGGTGCCCAGTGTGTAAGAAATAATAGATGGTGGCTGTTGCTTTTACTCAGACGGATATGCCAAGGAGCAGTGGGCTCCTTCAAGATCTATGTCTATACCTCTCCTATGATTCTAAAACAGTGCTCTGTACTGAAAAGTGTGCACAGACCCCGAAAGACCCCACTCACCCTCCTCTAGCCTGCTAGGCCTTGCTAGGCCCTAATCCCCCAGGTTCCCCAGAAAACCTCATTTGTATTCCACCGCAGCCGCTCTGGAGGCAGCAGCGGGCAGCGAGGAAGACACTCCAGCAGCTTCTTGGGGAGGAAGATCTTCAAGTGGTGGCTGTTCTCTAGAGGGAACCAGAAGGAAGGGTTTGGTGTGCTGCTCTAGCATTCCTGTGAGAGGCACCCCAGGGGTAAAGGGTCAAAGGCAACCCAGAGTATCAGGAAAAACTGCAACCAGGACAAGAAAGAAGGGAATCTAGGAAGCACAGGGCCTCCATGAGTAGGAAGAACATAAGGGTGGGCCAAACTGGGAACCTGGTTTGTGAACTCACCAGCAATCTCGGTGGTATCCTTGGTATTCATGGTGAGGGCTCCAGGGGGCAAGGTCACCCCCGGCCTGAGGGGCCGGGGGGAGGGGGAGTCTGTGCTGGGAAAGGAGAAACAAGATTATGATGAAGCCCCCACATTAATCCAGGATGAGAAGCATGAGGTGGGGGAGGTAACAGAGAACTGGGTCATGATGTCTGGGAAAGATGAAAAAGAGAGGAAGGCACTGGACTATATGGTATGACAGTACAGCCAGAAAATGGAAGTAAAGGGGAACCCATACATGGGGCCAGGAACCAATATGAGTGGGGAAACAACAATGTTCCAGAAGAAACAGGGTTGGGGTGGGTAGGGTAGAAGGCTAGCCAGGCTAGGGCCTCAGAGGCCCTACAGCTTGGGCTCTTGCAGCCACTAGGACTACTGGGGGGTTAGGTTCTGGGGGCAGGGACTCAGGGCATCTGGTCCTTGGAGGATGGGTAGGCAAGATAGTTCAGATGAGGGCAGGAGATCTAAGTCCGGGTGGAGAAATAGGCCTTAGAGGACACACCCTTAGTTTCTTCTCTATTTGATTTTCCCAAGAAGGGCAGATAACTGACCTACTCTCTCTCCTCCAGGTTGAGCAGGGCTTGATAGAATCTGAATCTGGTAGATGCTGGATCCCGCTTCCCACCCTGGGGACAACCGCCCTGAGGCTGACAGCCCTCTCCATTCTCCTGCACCCCTCTTCCCAAATGCCTCGGCCTCCCCTTGGCTTCCAGGCCTACCCTAGCCCTTCTACAGCTCTGGCTCCAGTCTAAGCCCCCGCCCGCCTAGGGGAACAGATGGAAGCTGAAGGAGGCTCTCAGCACGGGCTCTGCCAGGTGTCCAGGGATGGAGAGGGGGAGGAGGCCTATCGAAACCCGGCTATGTGCAGTGAAGCTGGAGTAGGGACTCCGCCCCAGGGCACAGGTGTGCAGTCCGGGTTAGGCAACCTGCCAGGTGCAGAGCGGGATTTGGGCTGCGGGCCCCGGGGCTGTCCTGGAATCTGACGCCCGGCGCTCAGGGCTGCCCCTATGGAGGTACAGGGGGTCCCAGGAGAATGTCTGAGGTGGGAGGGTCCCGCCTGCACACCGGGATGTTCTGGAGAAGCCGCGGAGCACAGTCTGCGAGCGCGCGGGGAGCGAAGGGCAGTGCAGGTGCCCGGTGCGGGGTTCTCCGGGACTGTCCCCAGCACACGCAGGTCCGCGGAGGGGCCCTGCGCGGAGCTGCGCCCCCTGGCGCGGGGGAGGAGGACGGAAGCAGGGAAGTGGGGGCGAACAGGGAGGGGTAGGACGGTGGTCCCGACGCGGTGCTCCATGTCGGGACCGGGTAGAGCTGCGCCCCCTGTCGCGGGGGTGGAGAGGCGGGCGAGAGGCCCTGGCTCTTACCTCCCGGGGTCCCGCGGGTGACGGCGGCAGCGGCCATTCTACCCCACACCAACCCCCCCCAAGCGCCGGCTGACAGCAGCGTCCGACGTCACTGCGCACGGGGCGGGGCTTCCCAATTAAGGGAATGGGGTCGGGAAGGGAACCTAGGGTCAACGCACGTGGGTTTCTGGGTGGGGCGCTGGGCGGAGGGACTCGGCTTCCATGGCCTTAGAGCCGGCCGAGAGACAGTCTGCTAGTCTGTAACTAGCAAGAGCCTAAAGGGGCAGTGGCGCCAAAGGACTGGAAAATTGGTTCCCGAGGCGGAAGCGACTCTTGGTTTGGGAAGATCCGGTGGAAGCTGGAACCCCAGGGGCTGTTGAGAAATTCTGGACGGGACAGGACTATTTTAGCCCCCGGAAGACTTCTTTATTTTGGGGACACGGACCGACTTCATTTTTGAGAAGCTGAAATGAACCCCCCTTCCTCATTAATCTCTCCTTCACTGCCTTGCAGAGAGAAAGACAACTCCAAGCTCCACTCACTTGCTCTTTAATAACCGAACAGAGAAGAACACAAAGCCAGGGGAAGGCCTAGGGGAAAACCTGGCTTGGGAGTTCCCGAAAGAGGGGTAGTTGAGATGGAAGCCCATTGAGATGGAAGCCCAAGGGGGCTGTGAATGCCTATTCTGGAGGATGGGACCAACAGCTGGAGAGGTTAAGGAAAGAGAAATGGCTCCATGCCAGCAATGGCGTGATTCTATTGATGGAACTGTTCTTGAGTTCCTGAAGTAGCACCAGCATCTTGGGCACAGATGGTTTCTCTTTACTCCTCAGACTCCAACTCCATGCCCCAGGAATTGTACACGGGGTTCCTTCTGGCTGTGACAGTGCTGTAGGACGTAGAGCTCAGCCTTCTGGAGGCACAACCGCCTTCCTGGCTCCAGGGACTCCAGGGAGACCAAAGCAGCTGGAGATGAGAAGTTGAAAAAAAGAATGAAAGAACCGCACATCGGATCTCTTTCCAAATTTCCTAGGCCCCAAACCCAGACACCCCCAAGTCACCTACTTTATTTTTTATTTTTAATATATTTATTTATTTATTTTTGTATGTGGTGCTGAGGATTGAACCCAGTGCCTCACATGCGAGGCAAGTGCTCAACCACTGAGCTACAACCCCAGCCCCCTACTTTATTTTTGTACTTCTCAAATATAGCTATCCAACCTGGCTTTTGCTATTTCTTCATGCAAGACCAAGGAACCACATCACTCTTCATGTCATCAAGCTCCTCTCTACCCATACCTGGTCCCTTCCAGGAGTGACAAAATGGTTCTCTTCCTGTGGATAGGTTGCCTTCTCCTCTTCCAGATCAGGATATTCAGTAGTGCTGGGGAATCCACAGCCTTCTTCGCCAAGCACAAGAGGCTCAGATGCTGCCCCAGAGTTGCCCCACTGGGCCTTCTTCAGTCTGTGGAAATTTTAGGCTTAGGAGAGAGGTGCCTAGAGGCCAGGCTTCCAGCTCTCCACCCTTCACCTTTCTCTTCTGAAGTACTTCCTACTGGGACTCCAGGATGTTGCCATTTGACCTCCAACTTACCATTGTCAGTTTTCTACTCCCCCCAAATTGCAGTATTTTCAGTCTAGGAACCCAGAGCTACTCTTTGCTCCCCCTAGTTCTATGGCATACTCTCTTGTCTTCAGTGATCCAGTTTCTACTCCTTCCAATTTAGGTGGCTAGTCCTCCATCCCTCATTTCTCTCTACACTATAGAAATTCTGTTTCAATTGTTCCAATCCCACAGCTCTTTTCCAAACAAGGTCCAATTCCCTGAAAGCACTCAACTTCTTTCTTAGCTCAAACTATCTTGCCCCCAAACCCTACTCGGTTCCCAGAGCCCACATTTCAGGCCTCCTTACTCATCCATGGTTCTCTGGCGCTTTCTCAGGTCCTCCAGGTGATAAGAGACAGCCCTTACCCGGGCTGGGATGCTCCCAGGTCCCTGCTTCATTCCCTCCAAATGTGATCTTCTTCTCTTTCTTCTGCAAAGCATCTCAGGGGGTGGGAGTCCCTCAAGAGGGTACAGGCCAGGCTGAGAGTAGCCACTATTTCTCTGTGCCAGAGAATGAAAAAAGGAGCTAGAAGGCAGAACTAGGTCTCAGTGGGAACTTGGACTGAACTAGGGAATCAGGGGTCTTGGGAAGCTCAGTTCTTAGAAAACATGGTGCTTGATTCACAGAAAGGAAGGTCTGGACAGGGAACTGTTCAGTTGGGAAACACTGAGGGGATGGGTAAAAGAATAGCTGGGGACAGGAAGGCAATGAGTATAATTTTAACAGAGAATTGTGGAAGGTCAGAGTTTGTCATACCAGCATGGGTGGAATATACTGTTCCTCTGTCCAGGTGGGGCTGCAAAACACAAAAAAGGGGTTAAGGTCAGAAGGGACACCTCCATCCACACTGCTTCTCTGATGACCTCTCCCAACTAACTCTCTGGCATTAGGAGCTACAATGTCCATCAGCCAATGAAGAATTAATCTTTAGACCTGGGCTGTAAGGATTTATGGTAGTTAAAATTGTACAGCCTCACCTTCCCACTTCTAGTTGGTCTCCGTTTTCTCTTACTCACCTGGGCCTTTGGCAAAGATTCTCCCAGAAGACATTTCCATAACGCTGGGATGTTGATGTGAGGCTCTGGGAAGGGAGGCTCGGGGGTGGAGATCGGCTGACCACTCTGGAACACCTGAGGTAAGGACATGGTAAACTCACATCTGGCTCTTACCTTATAGCATCTACTCACTATAGGATTCAGGGGCACATTTTTCCATGGGACCATACTGTTGCCCAGGTTCCCTCAGGTCATGTCCTCTCTTTCTACTTAGCTGAGGAAGATGGGTGAGGACTTCAATTTGAGTGGAGATTAGAGCTGGGGTGAAGGAGGAGATGAGCTATTTTTGGAAACTCATATCACTAAATCTCAAGCTTCTATAATTCATAGCCAAAGAATGTAATATTTAGTAAGCAGGGTTGTTAAAGGTTGTTAAAGAGGAAGATCCTGGTTACTCAGGTGACTTAACAGGCAGGTTTCCTTTAAGTCAATGCAAGCCTCCAGGAGAGAGAACCTCTGTTTATCCCTACTTTCACCTATCTCCAAAGGAATAATAATATCCTTGCAGATAGGGAGGGGTGTACAGAGCTGTTTAAGAATAGTGCTCTCAATCCACAGAGAGAAAAATGAAGCAGGAGGCATCATAAGACCTTAAATTATACTTCAGAGCTATAGTAACAAAAATAGCATATATTGGTGACCAAAACAGACATGTTGACCAACAGTACAGAATAGAAGACACAAAGACAAACCCACATAATTATCTCATACTAGACAAAGGTGCCATAAACATACATTGGAGAAAAGATAACTTTTTCAATAAATGGTGCTGAGAAAACTGGAAATCCATATGTAACAAAATGAAATTAGATACTAGGGTAAAGTGGTAAGTGCTTACCTAGCATGTGTGAGGCACTGGGTTTGATCTTCAGCACCACATAAAAATAAAGGTGTCACAGGCCAGCCATAGACTGTGTAGGTAAGTGTGAGCATTTGAGCACACGAGTGGACTGGACTGCTCTGTCTGGGCTGTGCATGTTTGTGTCCTTTTCACTCCCTCTGCCTTTTGATCCCACACAGCACCTGAGATGATCCACGAAGGTAGACTCAACCCCCTGAAACCTAACCCCTTGTCTCATTGGGGTGGAACTTTCTTGGAGTGTCTTCTCCTCAATAAAAGGGCTTCAGACATGCTTCTCCCTCTTTCTTGCCTGTCTTGCCCCCCTTGTAGGAGCTGTGGTTGAGGAGCTGTCACTGAACCCAAAGAAAAAGGTACTTTCTGTGACTGTTGTCTTTTATTTAGTTAGCCCAAATTCACCTGGAGTGACCCTGACTGATTTAGTAGTGTGATGTGGCATAAAGGTAGTTAAAAAAAAACAAGAAACTGACAAGGGCTGGGGTTGTAGCTCAGTGATAGAGCACTTGCCCAGCACATGGAGGCACTGGGTTTGATCCTCAGTACCACATAAAAAGAAATAAATAAAATAAAGGTTAAATTCTTTAAGTAAAATGATATTAGACCCTATCTCTCATACTTTATAAAACTCACTCAAGGACCTAGGCATTAGACCAGAGATCCTGTGCCTACCAGAAGACAAAGTAGGCCCAAATCTCCATCATGTTAGCTTAGGAACCACATTTCTCAACAAGACTCCTAAAGCACACGAAGAAGAATCAATAAATGGGATGGTATCAAACTAAAAAGCTTCTTCACACCAAAGGAAACAACCAAGAACATGAGCCTACAGAATGGGGGAAAATCTTTGCCTCCTGCACCTCAGATACAGCATTAATCTCCAGGATATATAAAGAACTCAAAAACTTAATACCAAAACAAAACAAAAACACACAAATGGGCAAAGGAACTGAACAGATACTTCATATGAGAACAAATACATGTAGCCAACAAATATCTGAAAAAATGTTCAATATCATTACTAATTAGAGAAATGCAAATTAAAACTCCACTGGGATTTCATTTCATTCCAGTCAGAATGGTAATTATCAGAATGGTAATTATCAAGAGTATAAGTAACAACAACAACTAAAAAAAGAATACAAGTAACAATAAATGTTGGCGAGGATGTGGGGGAAAAGGAACACTCATATACTGCTGGTGGGACTGCAAATTGGTGTAAACACTCTGGAAAGCAGTATGGAGATTCCTCAGAAAACTTGGAATGGAATCGCCATTTGACCCAGTTATCGCTCTCCTTAGCATATACACAAAGGACTTAAAGTCAGCTCAATTCACAACAGCTAAGCTACGAAACTAACCTAGATGCTCTTCAACAGATAAATGGATAAAGAAAATTTGATATGTACACAATACAATATTACTCAGCTATAAAGAAAAATGAAATTATGGGCATATGCTGGTAATGGATGGAACTGGAGACTATCATGTTAAATGAAATAAACCAATCCCCAAAAAACAAAGGCCAAATGTTCTCTCTGATATGTGAATGC